AAACTCATTAACAACCTGCGATATGCAGATAACACAAACTTGCTTGCTGAAAGTGAAGAGGACTTGGAGCACTTACCGATGAAGATCAAAGACCACAGCCTTCAGTATGGATTACACCTCAACATAAAGAAAACAAAAATCCTCACAACTGGACCAGTAAGCAACATCATGATAAATGGAGAAAAGTTTGAAGTAGTCAAGGATTTCATTGTACTTGGATCCACAGTCAACACCCACGGAAGCAGCAGTCAAGAAATCAAAACACATTGCATTGGGCAAATCTGCTGCAAAAGACCTCCTTAAAGTATTAAAAAGCAAAGACGTCACATTAAGGACTAAGGTGGGCTGACCCAAGCCATGGTGTTTTCAATTGCCTCATAAGCATGTGAAAGCTGGACAAGGAATAAGGAAGACTGAAGAAGAATTGATGCCTTTGAATTATGGTACTGGTGAAGAATATTGAATATACTGCGGACTTCCAGAAGAAAGAACAAATCTGTATTGGCAGAAGTACAGCCAGAATGCTTCTTAGAAGCACGGACAGTGAGACTTCATCTCACATACTTTGGACATGTTATCAGGAAGGATCAGTCCCTGGAGAAGGGCATCATTCTTGGTAAAGTAGAGGGTCAGCGAAAAAGAGGAAGACACTCAACAAGATGGATTAACACAGTGGCTGCAACAATGGGCTCAAGCACAGCAATGATCACGAGGATGGCGCAGGACTGGGCAGTGTTTCGTTCTGTTACACATAGGGTCGCTATGAGTTGGAACTGACTCGACAGCACCTAACAACAGCAATCACATGGTGGTATTTGAATGTAATAACAAAAAAATCAGGGTTCATTTCCAGAAGTCTAAGAGTTTTATCGATAATTCCAGTTGTTACTACCTCATAGGGTGAAGCTTCTTCGAATTAAAATTAATTAAAAACTGTCTAAAAGCTACACTGTCTGAAGAAAGATTGTCTCATTTGGCATTTTTTCAGAATGAATGTTATATGAAAATCTTGGTTGTAGGAACATAATGCTTTTGCTGAAATGAAAGCAAGAAAAATTAATTTCATGAAATAAGTGCAAAATAATTTATGAATTGTATATATATTTATATTTATATATATGTACAGGCATACCTCAGAGATATTGCAGATTCAGTTCCAGACCACTGCAATAAAGTGAATTTGGCAATAAAGCAGGTCACACAAATTTTTTTGGTTTCCCAGTGCATATAAAAGTTACGTTTACATTATACTGTAGTATAAGTGTGCAGTAGCATTAGGTCTAAGAAACCAACGTACATACCTTAATTAAAAAATACTTTATTGCCAAAAAATGCTGACCACCATCTGAGCCTTCAGCAAGTCATCTTTTTGCTGGTAGAGGGTCTTGCCTCGATGTTAATGGCTGCTGACTGATTAGGGTGGTGGTTGCTGAAGGTTGGGGTGGCTGTGGCAGTTTCTTAAAATAAGACAACAGTGAAGTTTACTGCGTTAATTGACTCTTCCTTTCATGAAAGATTTATCTATAGCATGTGATGCTGTTTGATAGCGTTTTATCCACAGTTGAACTTCTTTCAGAATTGGAGTCAATGCTCTCAAACCCTGCAGCTGCTTTATCAACTAAGTTTATGTAATATTCTAAATCCTTCGTTGTCATTTCAACAATGTTCACAACATCTTCACCAGGAGTAGATTCTATCTCAAGAAACCACTTTCTTTGCTCATCTATCATCCATTAAGGTTTTCTCATGTGATCTGCAGTTACTTCCTCCCCTGAAGTCTTGAACCCCTCAAAATCATCCATGAGGGTTGGAATCAACTTCTTCCAAAGTCCTGTTAATGTTGATGTTTTGACCTCCCATGAATCAGGAATGTTCCTAATGGCATCTAGGATGGTGAGTCCTTTCCAGAAGGTTTTCAGTTTACTTTGCCCAGATCCATCAGAGGAATCACTATCTATGGCAGCTATAGACTTACAAAATGTATTTCTTAAATAATAAGACTTAAAAGTCTAAATTACTCCTTGACCCATGGGCTGCAAAATGGGTGTTGTGTTAGCAAGCCTGAAAACAACATTAATCTCCATGTACATTTCCATCAGAGCTCTTGGGTGACCAGGTGCATTGTCAATGAGCAGTAATATTTTGAAAGGAATCTTTTTTTCCTGAGCAGTAGGTCTCAACGGTGGGCTTAAAATATTCAGTAAACCATGTTGTAAACAGATATGCTGTCATCCAGGCTTTGTTGTTCCATTTATAGAGCACAGGCAGAGTGGATTTAGCGTAATTGTAAATGAGCATTGGCTTCAACTTCAAGTCACCATCTGCATTAGCCCTTGACAAGAGAGTCAGCCTATCTTCGAAGCTTTGAAGCCAGGCATTGTTATGAAAGTCCTAGATGGCATCTTCTTCTAATACAAGGCTGTTTTGTTTGCATTGAAAATCTGTTGTTTAGTGTAGCCACCTTCATCAATTCTCTTAGCTAGCTCTTCGGGATGACTTATTGCAGCTTCTGCATCAGCACTTGCTGCTTCACTTGCACTTTTATGTGAGGGAGACGGCGTCTTTCCTTAAACTGCATGAACCAACCTCTGCTCACTTCAAACTTCTGTTCTTCAGCTTCCTCACCTCTCTCAGCCTTTGTAGAATTGAAGAGAATTGGGGCCTTGCTCTGGATTAGGCTTTGGTTTAAGGGAATGTCATGGCTGGTTTGATCTTCTGCCAGACCACTAAAATTCTCCGTATCAGCAGGAAGGCTGTTTCACTTTATCATTCCTGTGTTCACTGGAGTAGCACTTTTAAGTTCCTTCAAGAACTTTTCCTTTGCATTCGTAACTTGGCTAACTGTTTGGCACAAGATGCCTAGCTTTCCGCCTATCTCAGCTTTCGACATGCCTTCCTCACTAAGCTTAATCATTTCTAGCTTTTGATTTAAAGTGAGAGACATGGGACTCTTCCTTTTACTTGAACACTTAGAGGCCATTGTAGGGTTATTAACTGACCTTGTTTCCTTGTTCTTGTAAGCTTCTGCTGTGGAAGCGAGCTGGTCAGCTCCCCTGGGGTTAATAAAGCTACTACATTTGGAAGCAGACCCGTCTTGTTCTTCTTTCCAGTTGCCCCAGGACACAAAAGACCAGGGTGCCTGAAAGTGCTCCTGGCACAGGTGCCAGGGCTGTCTCAGGGAATAGGCCCAAGGAGAAAGAGAGAGACAGAGGAAAGGCTGGTCGTGGAGCAGACAGAACACACACAACACTTATTAAGTTCACCATCTTATATGGGCTCAGTTCATGGCAACCCAAAACAGATCACAGATCACCATAACAGATACAATAATAATGAAAAAGTTTGAAATATTGCGAGAATTACCAAAATGTGACACAGAGACACGAAGTGAGCTGATGCTGTTGGAAAAATGGTACCCATAGACTTGGTCGACGCGGGGTTGCCACAGACGTTCAATTTGTAAAACAATGCAGTATCTGCGAAGCGCAATTAAACAAGGTATGCCTGTATATGTTTTTCCACTCATTCAAACGTCACCAGCTTATCAACAAAGGACCCAGATATGCACAGTAATAATTAAATTACATCATCATTGATAGTTTGTCAACTTTCAGTCATATGAAAACCATGGCTTTACAATATTTTTCAAGGTACGTTTGTCACAGTAAGAGGATGAACATATTTATAACTTGTAAATATTAAACATATGGTATGTGGGCCTCCATTTGTATTTTTATTCTTGCCCCAGCCACTTGCACATGCTAGGGGCAGGCCTGCCACCAGCAATGACTGGGAGTACATGTTTCCCTCACTGACGGGTGAAGGGTGATATGGTTAGTTTAACTTGTCATTCCCTGACTATTAACCAGTATGAGTATCTTGCATGTGTTTGTGGGTCATTCTTTTCTGTGAATTTGCCTATTTTTGTCCTATGTTCATTTTTTTTCTTGAGTTGTTTTGCCCCTTATCTGTCTTAAGAGCTTAGGCTATCTTTGGTATTGTACGAGAAACTTTCCCAGATCTGTTGTTTTCTTTTGCTTTTACTTTGTGACATTTTTGCCATGTAAAAGTTTTTGTCTCTTTGTAATCAAACAGTCTTGTAGTTTATTTAAGACTATAACTTCTCTAAACTTAGAAGGTATCCCCTACCCTGTGACATATAGTCATCTATATTTTCTGGAAGGATTTTGTTTTCTTTTTCATATTTAAGTCTTTAGCCACCTGGAATTGGTTTTTGTATATGATAAAAGATAGGGTTCCAGTTTTCTTTTCTTCTACGTAGAGTGCCAAATTTCTCTTTCTAGACCTAATATTGGCCTTGAATGCCAAACGATATCTAACTACTCTTCAGTCTCTCCATTTGATTGACTGACAAGTACCTCAAGCTTGTCTGAAACTGAACTTTTGATTTCCCCACCCCATCCCATTCCTCTGCACACACCAACAAAACAAAAAACCTATCCCTATAGTCTTCTACATCTCGGTGAATGGTTGTTTACCTTTCACAACAGCCCCACTGGGGTCCCATGGTCCAGGGACTGGCATCTCCTGGGAGCTTGTCAGAAATGCGGGCTCTTGGGTCCCACCCTTACCCAACCCCATCAGATCTCTGGGGCTGGGGCCCAGGAATCCAGGTGGTTCTTACGCACACTAAAGTTTGAGGTGAATTCTCTATTATTTTTCATCCCGTTTTATAGATGGGACAAATGAGACATAAAGAATAAAACTTAACTGTCACACAGCTAGAAAATGGTGGTTCTGGGATTGTATATACAGTACTCTGAAAGTTGAGGCTGAAAGAAATGTCTAGCAATCTAGTTGAAACTGTTTGAATATAGAGTAAAAAGCAACAGGTTTTTTTTGCCGTTTCTGTGAGTCCGAAATATTGGAATGTTGAAATCTCAACATGTGGGAGTTTAAGTGGTATTAAAGCTACATTGTTACTCATGGCAGTATTTCTCTTCTTAAATCTGTTACTTTTTTATGTTTATTTTTGACAGAAATTTGGGAACCGTGGGTGCTGTTGCCTTGGACTGCAAAGGAAACGTAGCTTACGCAACCTCTACAGGGGGTATCATTAATAAAATGGTTGGCCGAGTTGGGGACTCACCATGTGTAGGTAGGATTGATGAGTGGACTCTTGCCGCTTGTCCTTACTTCCCTTGTCATCAAGTTCTCCTCATTCTCTAGCCTTCCTCTCCTTTTCTCAATTTCATTTCCCTTCTCCTCATGGTCCATGAAGAGAATTTCAAGTGGTGGCGGTTGGGTTGGAAAAGGTTGTTTAGGTACTGTCTTGAGAGACGATGTTTGTAGCTAGTATCTCTGTTTTTCCTAGATCGCATGTATTTGGGGGATGACTTGGGGGAAGAGATGGCGGATCCTAAAGTGCTACCCAAGCTACCCAATAGTGCCTCTTGCCTCTCTTTAGCCCCAGTTTCAGGATCTACAGACTTAATCCTGTTTCAGGATCTACAGACTTAATCCCAAAGGGATGAGTACATGAAACCTCTTTGCAGATGTGGGCTTGAATTAACAATCTAAGAAGGCTGAGAATATAAATTTGGAGTTTCTAGATTTGAGTGGCATGAATAGATACCCGAAGTGACACACTTCTACTGGGGAAAGCTTACAGATGGAAATGCGCTCTGCATTAACATTGAAGCCCATTACCTAATCCCCAGGGGTGGGTAAGTGGCAGAGGTGAGGGTGGGACAGACTTTTCTGTGGGAATTCCCAGCAGCCCCTGCAGATGATTGAAGTTTTGAGAAACAGTTCAGTTGTTCTGTCTGCCCAGAAGAACAGCTTACACTTTTAGTGGAAAACTAACCCTGCCTTCCCTTTTTTATGGTTAAGAGTTTGGCTGCTAGCCAAAAGGTCGGCTGTTCGAATGTACCAGCAGCTCCTTGGAAACCCTATGGGGCAGTTCTACTCTGTCCTACAGGGTCACTATGAGTCGGAATCGGGTTTAGTCTTTAGTAATAACTTATACTGTTGACAACTCTCGATACCCTTTATTCTGGTACACCTGTTATCTCTTTAAAGAGCTGAAGCATGATAACTTCACTTACCCCAGCGATATGGAACAGTCCACCTTTTTCTCTCCTTGGCAGAAATCCTACCCAAATATGCCAAGTCATTGACATAGCCCAGCTTTCATCCAGCTAGGTTCAGACGAGGCTACAGGGCCACCCAAAGTCAGATCCTAGAAACTAATGTCCAACTTTTTGAGTTATGATGGTCAAGTCTTGAGAGAGAGAAGACACAGCCTAGATTCTCAGAAGTCCTTGTCTTGGTTATGGGCCCCAAGTGTGCCTGAACTCCGCCCTTCCTGCCCAGTCCCAGCTGGCTCTGCTTGACCTTACTGATGGTTCCAGCTGGCTACATATGACCCGCTTGCATGGACAGCAGGCAGCAACATTTCCCTCTGACAATACAATTGTCATCTTGACAAATGCATGTGTGTTGAGGGTTCTCCCAAGACCACCCCAGGTTCAGTGATTCACTAGGAGGACTCACAGGACTCAGCATATAGTTGTACTCACGGCTGAGATTTATTACAGCGAGAGGATTTAAGGCAAAAATCAGCAAAGGGGAAAGGTGCATGGGGCAAAGTCTAGAAGAAACCAGGTGCACACTTCCAGAGTCCTCTCCCAGTGGAGTCTCACAGCACACGCTTAATTCCCCCAGCAACAAGTTGTGACAACACGTGTGAAATGTTGTCTACCAGGGAAGCTCGTTATAAACTCAGTATCCAGGGGTTTTACTGGGGACTGGTCACATAGTCAGCCTCTACCTAACATACAAAAATTCTAGACTCTCAGAGGAAAGCAGGTGTTTAGCATAAGCCACATTGTTTGTACAAACAGTTGAGGCATAGCGAGCCACTGTTAATCAGTCTTGGGAATGGTGGGAACCCTCCTGAAATCCAAGTTCCCAGACACAAGCCAAGGGCCAACCTTGTAAGCGGGCCTTTCTGAGGACAGCAGTCACAGGCACAGCACATATTTGGGCGGATGCCTGCACAGCCCTGGCACCTATGCCAGGAGCACTTTCAGGCACCTTGGTCTTTTGTGTCCTGGGGCAACTGGAAAGAAGAACAAGACGGGTCTGCTTCCAAATGTAGTAGCTTTATTAACCCGAGGGGAGCTGACCAGCTCGCTTCCACAGCAGAAGCTTACAAGAACAAGGAAACACACCTTCTCCCATTGCAGTGGTTCATGTTCACTACCCACTCTCAGAACCAGGGGCTTATCTGCCTTTGTGAAGCCTTGGAATCTGTGATATTCAGCTCAGTGCCCCAGTGCTTGAGCCCTTTGCATCAGCAAGGCAAATGTCAATCATAGGGCCTCTGTATCCACTAGGGAAGTGTAAAGGCAACTCTTCCAAGTCGAAAGGACTCTCAGGCTGATAGCTCTGCGTTAACAGATAGAGGAATGCAGAATGATGGCAAGAAGGCTATAAGGTTGCTCCATCCTGGACCAAAATAAGGACTAAATCTTATCAGTAGCCTTAGCTGCAGACCACCACTTAGGTGGGAGCCCAGAATAGTTCCCTCAGGTTCAAAAGCTACCCTCAACAAATGGAACTGCCCTCCGAATCATTGGACGGTATACGTAGGTATTAGGGGGGCTTCAGTGAGCAAGAGGGGGTAGATATGCTTTGGGGCAAAGAAGGAGCTGTCCATGAAAGGTCAGGCCCACCTCCCCTGAGCACCGTTCATCCTGGATTTCAGGGCATTCCCGTGGCGCTTGCTAGTCCATCTTGGCATCCACAAGGTCATGGCTACTCATTTGGCCTTGGTCCACACTGTAACACTCTTTGGGATTTAATATTTATGTAGCGTTAGACTTGTAATATGTGCTTGAATTTGTCGACTGCTGCCTCACAGTTAGAACTTATCACCTCCTTTTTTGAGCAGGATCCGGGGGTTATGCTGACAACAACATTGGAGCCATCTCCACCACGGGGCACGGGGAGAGCATCCTGAAGGTGAATCTGGCCAGGCTCACTCTCTTCCACATAGAACAAGGTACATAAAGCACAGGACAAGTTCAGAATGTGTAAAGACAAACAAGCTGTCTGTTCAGTAGAGAAGTATATGAAGCCTTTCTTGTTTGCTACACACGTTGCTTTCAGGTTCAGGTTGTTAACATGTTATTTTGTCTCCTTCCCACCCTCTATTAGGAGCAGAAATGGGAGAACATTTGCAAATAAAACAGTTTGTCTTTCCCATTGCAGGAGAAGGGGCAGTAGAGAGACACTGAACCTGCGTATGGTCTGGAGGGCAGGCAGCTCTCAACACAGGCTGCTGCTCAGCTCGGGCTCTGTCGCCGCGCAAGGAGGGCCTCTTACAATGAAGACCCTCCTTTTAAACTGTCCAAAAGAAAAAGAAATCAGTTTTGCCGTCGAGTTGATTCCAACTCATAGCGACCCTATAGGGCAGAGTAGAACTGCCGCATAGGGTTTCCAAGGTTGTAGTCTTTACAGAAAGTGGCGATGCAGTGGCTAAGCACTTGGCCGCTAACCGAAAGGTTGGCAGTTCAAACCCACCAGACTCTCCGCAGGAAGAAGATGTGGCAGACTGCTTCTGTTAGGATTACAGCCTTGGAAACCCTATAGGGCAGTTCTACTCTGTCGTATAGGGTTGCTATGAGTCAGAATTGACTCAATGGCAACAATTTTGGTTTTTCTGGTTAATCTTTATGGAAGCGGACTGCCACATCTTTTTCCCACAGAGCAGCTGGTGGGTTCCAACAGCCAACCTTTTGGTTAGCAGCTGAGCACTTAACCACTGCACCACCAGGGCTGCTTTCTCCTAGTGAAGACCTTCCTTTTAAGCAGTCCAAAAAGAAAAAAAACTGCCACTGAGTCTATTCCAACTCGTGACGACCCCACGTGTGTTGGAGAAGAACTGCTCGATAGGATTTTCCATGGCTGGTGTTTTGCAAGTAGATCGCCAGTCCTTTCTTCCAGGGCACCTCTGGGTGGACTCAAACCTCCAGCCTTTCGGTCAGCAGCTGAGCGTGTTCACCGTTTGCACCACCCAGGGGCTTAAGCAGTCGAATAGAAGTTATTTATTTACTAAAACCTTTGTTACCTGGCTTTCGTTTTTCATACGCAGGTGATTTTGCCATTAGATTCCTTTTGGTGACCTGTGTTGTTTTACAACCTTTCCTGGTTTTTAGGAAAAACGTTAGAAGAGGCTGCCAACCTGTCACTGGGTTACATGAAGTCAAGGCTTAAAGGTTTAGGTGGTGTCATCTTGGTCGACAAAACAGGAGGCTGGGTTGTAAAATGGACCTCCACATCCATGCCCTGGGCAGCTGCGAAGGACGGCAAGCTGCACTCTGGAATCGATGTGGGCGAAACCACTACAGTTGACCTGGCCTAAACCCATGGAAGATTGTATTCTAGATGCTAGCTTGGAGGTAAAGTCCACTTTCCCGGTGTGGAGACTTAGTTTAATCAATTAGATCGAGACATGGAAAAATTATGCAGTCTTTCACTCATTTTGTTGCCTTGATCACTAAGTATCTGAATGTTTGGTTGAGGTGAGGGGCGGGTATCGAAGTGAGGAGAGAAATACATGCCTGTATTGAGAGGAAAAGAAGACCAGTGGAGACGGTGTCCTCTAGTGAGCCTCTTGTGCACAGGCCACATTGTGTTAGGTTAGAAAGGAGAAAGGGCATGTTCTTGATATGACAGAAGCTGCCTGTGGGATTGGGGGGCCCATAGCAGTGACAAAGCTGTGGGCTCCAGAGGAGACGAGACTGTGAAGGTGGCAAGGTGGGAAGGAAAGGACCCAGTGGAGGTATTGGAAAGTAAGACAGGAGCAGCAGCAGAAGGCTCATGGGAGAAGTTCAGTGGGCCTCAAAATGTTGCAGAACTCATTTTGAGTCAGAAGAGCATTGGGTAAAATACTGAAAATCCTTTAAGGGAGATGTTCCTCACCTATGAGAGGATAAAATGGTTTTTCTCTTAAAAAGTTCAGATCTTCTCTGACTTACTAATATAGACATTTCCAGAAACTTGAAAAAGATCCTCTGGTAACCCATAAACTCCCTAATCTGGGAACAAAGGGTCATAATGGAGACCCATAATGGTAGACTGTGGGGGTTTCTTGGAGCCTGAGGGTTTTCTGGATTCACAGATGAGCCTACTCACTCACCTTAATTGCAGTGTCCCCCCTCTAGCCAGCACACCTGATCAGAGCCACAGACCCTCTGGGTCCTCACAGAGCGAGTAACCCAGCTCGAGACCTCTCCAGCCTCCAGATCCTCCAGCCACTGAGAGGGGCAGGAGGGGCCGATGGATGTAGAGATGACACAGTGACTTAACATGCAGTCATACTGTCCAGTGCTCTGGCGTGTCCCCTCTCACTGAATTGAGTGTGTGTCCAGTGTGGTCAGCACGGTGAAGAACGTGATTTCTTTGGTGGAGAGTGTTCCTATTCCTCTCTCTTCACACTGTATTCCTGCTGTGACATATCTGCTTGGTGTTTTAGTCTGGCAGGGCTTACTTCTGTCTGGAAAGAAAGTGCTTAACTTTAAATTCCATGTTCCACTAATAAAGTGTATTTTGAAAGAATAACAGTGTGGTTAGGAGTTACTGTTGACAAAGACCAGAATGTACTTCTTGGCTTTCCCTTGGCTTCTCAACTCAGATGGGGGCACTTGGTAAAGAGACCTTTTGAGATAAGGGTGGTGTGTGGATGTGGGTACGATAACACATCCTGTCTCATGGAGTATATGAAAGTTTTTTTAGAAGAATTGAGCTTTTTCTGAATGGGTGAGAGAAGACACCAAAGCACCATTTGCACTTACCAACAGGGTCTTCTTGGAGTCTGCCAGTATTCACCCCAGATAAACCAGTTGCTGTCCCGTCAGTTCTGACTCATGGCGACCCACAGTTTTCAATGGCTGATTTTTCAGAAGGAGATCACCAGGGCTTTCTTCCAAGGTACCTCTGGGTGGACTTGAACCGAGCTAACTAGGGATCACCCAGGGACTCTTATTCACCCCAGATACAGTCTCACAATTCTAGCTCCTGTTCCATGACCCCCCTGGGCCCAAATTGGCTGCTCTGAATTAAGGAGGCCAACCTGAGTTTGAAACCCTGCTATACCTGGGCTACAGTGGGCAAGTTAACTTTTAAGAAGTTTTTCATCTATAAAACAGATGATTGTGAAGATTAAATGAAATTAAAGGGAAATTGCTCAGTGTTTATTTTAAGGATCCTTTGGATGATTGTGAGAATGGCGCAGAACTGGGCAGTGTTTTGTTCTGTTGTACATGGGGTTGTTATGAGTCAGAACCGACTTGACAGCACCTAACAACAGCAACAACATCGACAAGTACTGTTGGTGAAGAATATCGACTATACCACGGCCTGCCAGAAGAACGAACAAATCTGTCTTGGAAGAAGAACAGCCAGAATGCTACTTAGAAGCGAGGATGGCGAGAGACTTTGTCTCACATACTTTGGACATGTTATCAGGAGGGATCACTCCCTGGAGAAGAACATGCTTGGTAAAGTAGAGGGTCAGCGAAAAAGAGGAAGACCCCCTTAAAAAGATGGACTGACGCAGTGGCTGCAACAATGGGCTCAAGTATAACAATGATGGTGAGGACGGCGGAGGACCAGGCAGGGATTCGTTCTGTTGTACGTGGGGTCGCTATAGGTCAGAACTGACTCGACGGCACCTAACAACACCAACAACATAGACAATTACAAAAACTGTGGCCAGGCCCAGGAGAGGATCTGTGTGTTTACGTCCTTGAAAACCTCAGTGTATAACAACTGCCCCATTAGTGGTACGTGTTTTGTTAGGAAGCAGAGCAGAATCATGTTAGGGATTAAAGGGAGAGGCTCTCTGTGGAAGAGAAAATAGCAATCATGAAGTAGATAAGGAGAAAGGGTGGCGAGAGGGCGAGCTTGGGAGGCCAGTTGGAAGATCTGATTTGGAGCTGACCTCATGTGCTCTGCCATTCACAGGGGGAAGGGACTTTAGTTATCAAAGACACTGGAGGCTTAGCTATGGCCACTTGACCTCTCTGGTCACACAGCCCAGGGTGCTTCAGCCCCTTTGTGCAAAGCCAGGGTGTGTGTTGTTGCTCTCAGACCTTGGTTCTGCAAAAAGCCAGCTCCACTAGCCTGGGTGACCAGGCGTGGTCCTCTGTGTAGCCTCACACGTTGTCCTGTTCCATAACTGTTTTCAGAATGAGTAAATGAGCAAGCTCTTTTCTGAAAGGGGAATGATGAGCTCGTTATCGCTGCTGTGCCACAAGAGGGCAGCAAAGTATAAAATACTGTCCAACAGCTTCCGCAACCCAAAGGAGGACTTTGTCTTGACTCTGGATTAGAACAGTCTGCTCAGAAACTTTGGAGCCACAAGAGGGGTCCTATTCCAGACATTCATTTTCGTCTAAACACTACAATTTATTTTACAGCAGAATTGTCCGAACCACAAACATTAGCAAATGCCCCCACAGAACCTGTCAAAATCAACCATGTCTTTTTGACTCAAAACCTTTGAAGCCCACTGCACCTGGCCTGCTGCTAGATGCTGGGGACCCCAAGGAAGGCATGGTCCAAGCAGCCCCAGCCTCTGCCCTCGGTTGTTCCTTCCAGCCAGGCAGACAGACAAATTGTCATTTGGCCAATACTTTGTAAGGTGCACCAAGAGGGCCCTGGAGCCAAAAGTGTCTCCCTGGGCGGGGGAGGTGCTGGAGCCATTCACTCGGTGAACTGTAGGGAAAAGTCGCGGGGGAAGGAAGGGCTTTCACTGTGTAGCTATTGAGCAATAAATGTCTTTATCAAATAGTGGTCTCTCTGAGCTTGTTCCATTACCTCTGAGCACAGAGGAAGGTGGAAGGATTGGGTTTCAGTTCCCTTCAGTGTCCTTCTAATCAGAAGTGGGTGGTGTGTAAAGAAAGTTGTCAAACACTGTCATTCTTACAGTGCACACCTTCTAGGGCATCCTCCCATCAACCCTCACCTTTGCACAAAACATCACTGCATTCAGATTCTGTAGCAACTTTGAGGGAGCAATGAGGTGCCCTGCAGAGCTTGTCCAGCTAAGAAAAATGCAGATGTTCTCTCTTCTCTCTCCATAGGTGTAGACATGACCCAGAAAGGCACTGGGGCTGGGCAGAAGGACAGAGGTGTAACCAGGTCTAGGAATGGATTGGGAAGAAGTTTGGGCCTAGAACATGGGTAGGGTTGGGGACAGGAGTGGGTGTGGGTGTCTGTTAGTGGTTCCATCCAGAGTATAAATACCATCAAATGGAGAAGCGGCCTTTCTGCCTTAACCCACTCTACATACATAAGAGTTGAGCCATAATTGTATGCAGTTAAGTCCCCGGGTTACGAACATCCGACTTATGGACAACTGGTACTTGCCCTTCAATGTTATGTACATTGACCCTCACTTAGAAACGAGTGAACCAACCCCCTACTCCCAAGAAATTCTTCATCACAGTCACCTTCACTTGCTGCACGTGCAGCTTTTAGATCACTGCAAAGGCTTCAGAGCCTTTTCTTGCACTGAAGTAAGGCTAAACGAGAACTGTGTGCACCTGTTCTGACTTACCTACACATTTGACTTAAAGACATAGGAACAGATCTCGTTTGTATCCCAGGGACTGCCTATATAGCTCATCTCTTCTGAGAAGTTCAAACCGTGCAAGGGAGGCACTGGGCTTATGCTGCCCTTTTGAAAGATGAAAAACATAAGGCCCAGGAGGATTGGAGTTTCCAGCAGGGCATTCCACTGTCTCAGACTCCCTATTCCCAAATCCAGTGGCTCTTATCCCCGGCGGACCATCCACAGGAGACCACTCAAGGCAGCCATCCCCCGCCAAGACCCAGGGGCAGTCCCGGAAGCCTTTCTCTCACCCACTGTTAAAGTGAAGTTGAATGATCCAGACAGCGAGAGGGAGGGGCGGGCATGAACTGCACCGATGGAGAAAACCAGCCTTGGATTTTTTTTTTTTTTTTTTTAAGAAAAATCACTGAATCATCTCACAGGTAACTGTATTTTTCCCGATGTGATTTATCAGGACTTTCTGGATCCTGTGCAGAACTCAGGTGGGGGATTGGGTTCCAGGCTACAGCTGGGCGCAAAGGGGGGAAAATGGGCGGTTCTTAACCATCCTGTAAGACTGAGCCCCCTCCCTTCAGCCCGCCCCTAGGGACCTGGTACGGGCAGCACACTGCACCTTCCAGGGAGGCGGTTTTCACTAAGCATTTTAAAGTTACAAAATATTAAAGTTGAAAAACTTTAAAAATTGTTAACTTTTTTAAATTTTAAATTGTTTACATTAAAGTTTAAAATTTTTTAAATTCAATTTTAACATAAGTAGTACACGTGCATTGTAGAAAATTGGAAAAAAACAAAATAAGAATTAAAAATAATAAAAATTTAAAACTAAGAAATGATAGAAAATACAGACCAACAAAAATCAGGAAGAAATTTAGGAAAAAAATTCCCATCACCCAGCGATTACCCCTATGAGCATCTCACCGCGTATCTTCCCGGCTCTTTTTCTGAGTGTGTAGATGTTGTTTTGCATCGTCCAGTGGATTCCAACTCCTAGTTGACCCTCTGTGACAGAGCAGAACTTTCCCAGAGAGTTTCCTAGGCTGTAGTCTTCACAAGAGCAGATTGCCAGGTCTTTGCTCCTGCAGAGCGGCCGGAGGGTTCAAACCACCGACCTTTTGGTTAGCAGCCAAGTGCTTAACCATTGCACCACTGGGGTTCCTTAAGCATATATATACGTAAGTATTTTTTCCAAAATGAGATCATACTGTACATGCTATTTGTAACTTTTCTCAGTCTCTACTTCTACATGTCAATGAACTTCCGTCAAGTCAAAATTCAGATTTCTTCAGTTTTCTGGAAAAGGTCCCTCACAGCAGGTTTGTTCAAATCCCGCCCCTTATCTGGGTCTCCTCTCACAAGCCCCACCTGTGTTCAGTGGCCCCGGCTTGGTGAATAGATAGGCCCGCTGCCCCGCAGGGTCATACCTCCCCAGGTGGTCACAGTGCTTCCTCATGGTATGTTACACATTTGGCTAGAACATAACATGTTCCAGGGATGCTGGGTGCAGGCCGACCATTTCACATGGAAATGGAGATGTCCCTTGCCAGAGAAGCCTAGCAGTGCTGGGCTGTGGGAACAGGATTGGGCTTCAGGTCTGAAAAGGGAAGTGTGAGTTGCACCAAATGACACACCCAGAAGTTTGGCAAAGGGTGACTTGGAGCCAGAAGAGCAGGTGGGGAGAGAGTTCACGCCGAGCAGCTACCAGGAAAGGACGCCCCTGCCACCCTTCCTCCTCGCTGCCTCTTCCCCGGGTCACTTCCCCTCAGACAAAGGGCTTGTTTGCTTTCTGTCCCCAGCTCACTCACGTTCAACCTTTCCCAGGCCTGCCCCATGCACAGTGAACCAAGTGCTCCAAAGTGCCTCTTGGGGAAAGGGCGGTTTTCAGAAGTATTTACAAATAACCAGGTGGGTGCCACTCTCAGACCAACTGCAGGACTACTTCCCATGGGCTAAAAACAAAGGCTGGAAGACTGCGGTTCACTCGCCTTTGGGAACATTCCACTGTCCACCCTGTACTGGACACCTGGTGGTCTGAACTCCTGAATTCTCCCAACATTCCATGCAGACACCAAGTGAAGATTTTACTTATCTTCTCAAAAGTCAAAAAGACCAGGCCAGTTCTTGTGTCTACCCCCTCCCCCTCTCTGGGCCCACTCAGTGGGGTGCCGCCACTGTCCGG